CCGGGGAGATGCTGGACGCCCCCCCCCATCCAAGGGAGATGCTGGATGCTCTCCCCATCTCTAGTGGAGATGCTGGATGCTCTCCCATACCCTGGGGAGATGCTGGATGCTCTCCGCCATCCTCAGGGAGATGAGAATGCTCTGCCCCCATCCAAGGGAAATGCTGGGTGCTCTCCCCCCTCCCCCGGGCGATGCTGGGTGCTCTCCCCCCTCCCCCGGGCGATGCTGGGTGCTCTCCCCCCTCCCCCGGGCGATGCTGGGTGCTCTCCCCCCTCCCCCGGGCGATGCTGGGTGCTCTCCCCCCTCCCCCGGGCGATGCTGGGTGCTCTCCCCCCTCCCCCGGGCGATGCTGGGTGCTCTCCCCCCTCCCCCGGGCGATGCTGGGTGCTCTCCCCCCTCCCCCGGGCGATGCTGGGTGCTCTCCCCCATCCTCAGGGAGATGCTGGATTCTCTCCCCCATCCAGTGGAGATGCTGGCTTCTCTCCCCATCTCCAGTGGAGACACTGGATGCTCTCCCCCATCCCCAGGAGATGTTGGATGCTCTCTCCCGTCCAAGGGAGATGCTGGATGCTCTCCCACACCCCAGGGAGAAGCCGGCTGCTCTCCCATATCCTAGGGAGATGCTGGATGCTCTCCCCCATCCAGTGGAGATGCTGGATGCTCTCCCCCATCCAAGGGAGATGCTGGATGCTCTCCCCATCTCTAGTGGAGATGCTGGATGCTCTCCCATACCCTGGGGAGATGCTGGATGCTCTCCGCCATCCTCAGGGAGATGAGAATGCTCTGCCCCCATCCAAGGGAAATGCTGGGTGCTCTCCCCCATCCTCAGGGAGATGCTGGATGCTCTCCCCGCCTCCTCAGAGGAGATGAGGATGCTCCTCACCCCCCATTTCCAGCACAGGTGCCGGCTGCTCTCCCACATCCCTGGGAGATGCTGGATGATCTCCCATATCCTAGGGAGATGCTGGATGCTCTACTCCATCCCCAGGGAGATGCTGGATGCTCTCCCCGCCTCCTCAGAGGAGATGAGGATGCTCCTCACCCCCCATTTCCAGCACAGGTGCCGGCTGCTCTCCCACATCCCTGGGAGATGCTGGATGATCTCCCATATCCTAGGGAGATGCTGGATGCTCTACTCCATCCCCAGGGAGATGCTGGATGCTCTCCCCGCCTCCTCAGAGGAGATGAGGATGCTCCTCACCCCCCATTTCCAGCACAGGTGCCGGCTGCTCTCCCACATCCCTGGGAGATGCTGGATGATCTCCCATATCCTAGGGAGATGCTGGATGCTCTACTCCATCCCCAGGGAGATGCTGGATGCTCTCCCCGCCTCCTCAGAGGAGATGAGGATGCTCCTCACCCCCCATTTCCAGCACAGGTGCCGGCTGCTCTCCCACATCCCTGGGAGATGCTGGATGATCTCCCATATCCTAGGGAGATGCTGGATGCTCTACTCCATCCCCAGGGAGATGCTGGATGCTCTCCCCGCCTCCTCAGAGGAGATGAGGATGCTCCTCACCCCCCATTTCCAGCACAGGTGCCGGCTGCTCTCCCACATCCCTGGGAGATGCTGGATGATCTCCCATATCCTAGGGAGATGCTGGATGCTCTACTCCATCCCCAGGGAGATGCTGGATGCTCTCCCCGCCTCCTCAGAGGAGATGAGGATGCTCCTCACCCCCCATTTCCAGCACAGGTGCCGGCTGCTCTCCCACATCCCTGGGAGATGCTGGATGATCTCCCATATCCTAGGGAGATGCTGGATGCTCTACTCCATCCCCAGGGAGATGCTGGATGCTCTCCCCGCCTCCTCAGAGGAGATGAGGATGCTCCTCACCCCCCATTTCCAGCACAGGTGCCGGCTGCTCTCCCACATCCCTGGGAGATGCTGGATGATCTCCCATATCCTAGGGAGACTGATCCTGCCCTGACCCCAACCCCAGTCCCAGACCCCAACCTTGATCCCAACCCCAACCCTGAGCCCAGTCCCAGACCCCAACCTTGATCCTAAGCCCA